AAAAAAACACTTTTTACCTTCCCCGTAGCAGCAAACCTAAGCACTCGTTAAATCTAATGTTATTTAAATAGGGAATAATATGTCTTATTTATGGAAATATTTTAGTAGTAATCAGACAAGTTGAAATTTGCTTAGTCTGCAGGTTTGCTGCGGCGGGGGTATTTTACAAATTACCATATGCCATATAATTATCTACACAGAGGTGATAGCCTAAGTTAGCCTACATTAAATAAGTTAGAAGTGTTCAGTAGGTCTGGCCTCCAAGAGTCGGTTTACTTAACTTGGATCCAACTTCTTATTAGCATTACAAAAGTTAGGCATAACTTGCCTAAAAAGGCTTAAATTGCCTTTTTAGCGAATTTCCCTATAGGAAAGTTAGCTAAAGTTAGGTAGGCCCTACTGTAGGTGGTGTATTTTAAGACCTAGGCCCAGGACCGATAACTTCTTATGCTTTTTATTCTGAGGTCCCTAACTTAGAAGCCAAAAAGAGGCTACTAAACTTATTAATTCAAATTATTATATAAGTTAGGTAGGCCTATAATATATATATATAAGTTATATAGGCCTATATTTATCCATTTAAACAATGAAAAAGGAGTCCCTATTAACATTGTTTAAATGGAGAAAAGTGGTCATACATTACGAAAATAACTCGTTTCTCTGTTATTATTTCTATTCTTAACAAATAAGGTATCATTGAAAACTACATAAAATTTACTAACTTTTTTATCTCTTGCAATTTGGCATCAAATAAATAAAATTTGGCATCAAATACTTTAAATGGTGGCCATTTTAAAACGGTTAATGATTTTTTTGTATAATTTCTAACGATAATAGGTCTTAAATAACCAATTTTGTAAAATATCAACGCTGTATCTCAAACCGTTTATAGGAGTTATTAGTTTTTTTGTAAAAAACCTACAAACACAGACAGACGGAAAACTAGGCACCACAGACCCATGTTCCTATGGTGAAATGTGTTTGTCTTGACCTAAGGACTACCTTTAATTACCTCCTCCTTGACCGAGACCAGCAGAGCCGGATAGGTTGCGTCAATTTTCTATTTACACTATATTCATAAAAACTTCCATATATTGAAGTATGAACTGTATTAAAAGTACTTTGGCGGTGGATGATTTTGCCGCAGGCTTATTGACTTAAAGTTTCTCATCAAAATAGTCTTGTAGGCTGTAGTATGGTTTCTCCCTCAACAAGTTTTTCAGGGCTGTACGAAAGGCCGTTTCCCCTTGGTTTTTGATTGACGTAGGCAGGTGGTTGTAAATCTTCAGGGCAAGCGTTGGGAAAGAGTTTATGGTTTTAGACAGCCGACAGAAAGGTATGTCCAGGTCGGAGCGATGTCTTGTACCATGGCTATGAACAGTATTTCTTGTAGGGAATTATGTAGGTTTGCCTTCACATGGTCGGCTGACAAAAAAATGTAATGACTGACAATAGTTAAAATACCGGTGCTGACAAACAGAGGTTTGCAACTTTATGGTCATTTCTTTTACTAGGAGTTGAAATACGTAAGTTACTGCTTTCTTCTGCAATTTGAGAATTTCAAGACATGATAGTGCATGGCCCCAGATAAGGAGACCATAGCTTAAAATACTATGGAACAGAGCGTGGTACACTATAATCAAATAAGGTTTACTGACAAGCCTAGTCAACTTTCGAAGTAGATGCACCACCCTGGACAGTCTTTTTCCAACTGATTGAATGTGTTTATCCCAAGCAAGTTTTGGATCAATTGCAAAACCAAGAAGATTTACGTTTGGTACATCTTGTACGTGGTGACTGAGAGTACAAGTGTGTGTGCAACGAGCCTATGAATGGAGATGAGTGTCTAGGACGAGTGGTGGTAGTAGTCTTGATAGTGACTAAGGCCGACATATTCCTTAGACACAGCTGTTAATTAACAGCCAATCCAGCCAATGGCGACTAAGGGGCTTACAGTTTATAGTACAGTTTATGACCCATAATTTATTTATTACCTATTAATGATTAATCTGTTTGATCATTGTAAAGGATTCCAAAAATAACTTTGGGGGGAGGGCGTTTAGTTATGTTGTATTGGTAGTCTATAAATAACTCATCAGAGGGGGGCCCAAAAGATTCCAGGGGGCCCGTAAAAAGCTGTTAGGCCTCTGGGACTCCAAGCCTATTTATAGGAAAGAACCAAACTGAGCAATCAAAAATGGCTGACTTTTAGGAGTGAGGCTGGATGATGGGCTCGGATGGGGCGAGCACATTCATGGATTAGAGAGAGATTGCTTGCTCGGGGACTCTTCATCCAATGTAGCATGAGGTCATACGGCAGCGATGCTCTGTCCAGGCTCGTTTACCATGGGCTATTCAAGCTGTATATCTCATATTCAATCATTTTGTGGGGCTCATCCGCCAAGAAGAATTTTAGAAAAATCTTTGTCTGGCAAAAAAAGCAATATAATTAATAAGAACTATCCTGGGTATGCCATTGGATGCCAGTTGCAGAATTGCATTCATCCTGTTTGCCCCTTGACTGTCCTATGCATTTTCATTTATAAAGCAGGTTAGTTAACATAAAATCACAGCACATTCAACTTCACTTTGGTCATGGGTCTAGGTCTGGCCATGAAATCTACGGTAGCAGGCCTATATTTGATTATAATCTCACAAGTTCGTCTTCTTCCAATGACTCGGAGTTGAAAAGCCCAACTTCACAACCTTGAGAAAATCCGTCATGTAAAAAGACCAGATGTCTCAAATCTAATTCTCTCTCTTAAGCCGCGTTTGCACGAAGCCAGTTGGCAGACAGGATGCTTAATACAATAATGGCTGTTTGCACTCCGTTCCCCCACAAAACACCCCTCGAAAATTTGACTTCCAAATCCCAAAAGTGGACTAGCCTATAGGACTCCAAAATTTGATTTGTGCTGCTTCTTTTTACTTCAATAGTTAGGCTATTGTGTCAAATAATATTTAATAATAATCTATAATATCCGATCTAAGTTAGGCCTAATCTATCCTGCACTTCTCAATATAATGAGTCCATAGCAGTAAATATTTTCTGTTATGGATGAAGGCTTGAGGCATTTTTAAATACCTGAAAAAGTTACCAACTCAAATTACCCATTATTCATCCAGTTTCGAAGGATCATTACCTAAGTTTGTCAGTAGATCTACCACATTGATACGCTTGTTCAGCAATAACTTAAACACATCCAGAATGAAAAAAAAATGGCTCATATCTTGTCAGTTGTGCTACCACAAAATACAGTAAAGACATCAAAGACTTTATTTCTATAACCTAAGTATTTATGATCGGATGCATCATAGTAGGCTATTTATGTATACAGATTTTGTAAAATGTTTCCTATGTTTGATTATTTAGTACAAATTAAAATACTTTTGTTAACTATACTCCGTTCACAAAATTTTGGCTGTTTGAGGGGAAGTAATTCCATCCCCTCCACCTCACCCTATCTTTGAAATAACAGCCGACAGCTGATCAGCTGATATAGGCTACATTATTATTCATTCACCATTATTATTTATTTGTTGTTATTTATTTATTTATTTTCCAATAATCACATAACATCATATTCAGACAGGTGATTCGTCATTGTTACAATATTTTATAGTCTCTATTATACTAAAATTATTCTAAAATAAATTTCATTGCTGAGCCTTAACATCTACATAGCTTCCATATATTCCTCCAATGAGAAGAAGGCCTTCTCCAAAAGAAAGTTTTTTAACTTCTTTTTGAATTTAGGGAATGAATCAGTGTCCCTAATTGAAGAAGGTAATTTGTTATATTGTTAGTTATGTAACTGGTTGTTGATTCTTTTTAAATGGTTCTGCCGTTGGTATAAATAAATAAATTAGTCTAATCTAAAAAAAAGTGGTGGGATAAACCCAGGAAACCTTCCCCTTTAACTGGAAAATTTTTGTGAACGGACTATAGCAGAATTGCTTGTAGATGTTAGAACGAATGATATGATAGAATGAACTAGGAAGATAAAAAATAATTAACCATGGATTGATTGATTGTAAGAGGGGAGGACTCATGGTCCAAGCACGTCAACCGAAGCTTGATACGGTACTAAACCATGGATGGTACTATAGAATGAATGACATACATAATGATATTGGAATAAAAGTACTAAAATAGATTTCATTTTGTGTTTCCTTTGTAGGGGGTTGATAATCAATACAACTTATTAAGATATGTCCAAATGTAAAATTTGTTGACAGGATATTGAAATTAGGCCTAAGAGGAATTTTTACAATATCTGGTGGCTGATTGATTAAGCTTAAATCAAGGGTTATACAAGTTGATTCACTTTAGGAGTATAAATAACAGTATCCTGAACCTTTCCAAAACCGTGTCGTCCAAACCCTGATGTAACCTTTAAATATTTAATTGAACCTTACTTAAGTTAGCTAGCTGTGCCGTTAAATTAAATCTAACCTGATTAGAAGACTACCGTATCACTTTTAATAACTTAGTTGTTTATATACTTAAATGATGTGTTGGCTAGATCCTTAATTTATAAGTAGGTCGGAATACCCTTTACTTGATATATGAAATATAAGTTTTTACTTTCACAAAAAATAGAAAAAATACTTTTTCATAACAAAAAATAGGTTTTGTCATGAAATTGAAATGTATTAAAGAGCAGAACCAATGTATTAAAGAGAAACATTAATTTCCTTTTTGTCAAGTTTTTAAAGTTTAGTTTTTAAAAATCTGTATAATTTTATATTATCGAATCAATAACCATCTGTCCTTTCTACTAATTAGGATTAAACCAATGTTATAAAATAAAAAAACAAATAGCCTAAATGGAAACTAATATTGTCAGTCCCTAGTAGTGTAATTTTTTTATGCTGTTATCCTGCAGGCGAATACTAATTAATTCCAGAAAAGTCATTATCCTACCTTAACTCTACAACAATAAGTAGGCTAGCCTGCTCATTTTAGTCTGAGGCTAATTTAAATATTTCTTTTTTAGGTATTAAAATGACAATGTTTGATCCCACGGAGAGAAAGTTTGAGATTGAATTAAAATTAGAAAATGAAACGACCAAACTAAAAGAGTTAAAAGAAAATGTTGAACGAAGCAGTAATCTTACAAAAGGAATAACTGGGATACTGTCCTCTTTTGAGCAACGCCTCGCGAGATTAGAAGAAACTATCTTACCAGTTTATAATGAAACGGGTAATCTCCAGCGTAGTCAGCAAAACATCGAGCGAACATTGGCTGCTCTCGATCATGTCATCGGTTACTACAGTGTTGCACAGGAAGTAGAAGTGACAGTTCGAAGTGGACCTTTTGTTGCGGGTCTAGATGAATTCCTGGCTGCAATGCAGCGGCTACAAACTGCTCTTCACTACTTTGAGAAAAATAACCCCCAGAGTGTCGAATTGGAGAATGTATCATCTCTGTTTAACGCTGGTGGTGATGCTTTAAACAGAGAGTTTAAAGAACTACTTTTAAAACACAGCCGTCCAGTACCTCCCATCACCCTGCTGGACCTGGTTGCCGTAGACGAAGAGTTGACAACAGACGACGCATCAGTCAGCTCCTTGACACAATTCCCTGAGGCTGTAGGAAGTCAGTTGGTGCTGATGGCAGACTGGCTTGTTGCTCAAGGAAGAGACGAGTTCATGAATGTGTACGCCCGAATACGCGCCACGGTGCTGCTCAAGTCTCTGCACCAGTTGAGAGAACAGCAGCGCTCAGGGAGCGGAGGTAGTGTGCAAGGAGTGGCTGCTTCTCCTGTAGTACGGCCCAAAAAAGAAGGCACAAAACACGAAAATCCTGGTAAAAGAGCTTCCCACAGGATGAAACAAATGTTTGAAAAGAAATCAAAGAAAATGTTTCTAAAAGCCTCGCAGACTCTGGAGAGCTCTACGGGTCTGACATTGGGAGCTCGACGAGCGACGCTACACCTGGTGGAGGCGAGAGAGGACGTCGTGGATGAGCAGGAGATGGAGAATTACCTTGTCTGTGTCATGGCTCTGCAACGACTGATGCAGCACGAGCGTACTCTCATGACAGGAATCATCCCCTTGCAGCATCAGCACCAAGTCTTCCAAATCATCATACAAGAGGCCCTTGACACCATCGTAGAAGATGGACAAAATATAGCGACTCGAGCGAAACGTTGTATCGGCCGACATGATTTTGGAGCTGTTCTTGTTGTTTTTCCCATTTTGAAACAACTTTTGAACATGAGACCCGAGTTTGAGCGAACAGTAGAAGGGTGCGATTTTAAAATCCGTTCTCAATTTACCAATATACTCAATACACTGCATTTAACAGGTGCAAAGGCTCTTGAAGACTTCATAGAGAATGTGCGCAGTGATACAAGCTCAGGTTTGCCTAAAGATGGCACCGTGCATGAGTTGACTAGTAATGTACTTGTGTTTGCGGAGCAGCTTTTGGAGTACATGGACACTATTGCAGGAGTCTTAGGACAAGATCCTGCCTACAACAACGCATACTTGCAGATTCCTAATCACAACAAAATTGACAAAAACAAAGCTTTTTTGGGTATTTACATAAAGAAAGTTCTGTCTCAGCTGAACTACACACTCATAACCAAAAGTGATGCCTACTCAGATGTTGGTGTAAAGGCATTGTTCCGACTCAACAACAGCCATCATGTTCTCAAAGCACTGCAACGGTCGGCTCTCCTCGACCTGGTAACTATATCAGAACCTGATTGTGAACAAACCTATATCAACATGATAGAAACACACAAAAAGGCATACAGAGAAAGTTGGAGTAAAGTCTTGCACCATATAATGAACAATGATGACATTGTCACTTCAGCTGGAAAATTGAAAGACAAAGACCGTAACACTGCAAAGGAAAAATTCAGTGGTTTTAATAAAGAAATGGAAGAAATAGCTCGTACTCAGAGAGGTTACTCAATCCCAGATGTGGAGCTTCGTGAAAGTCTGAAACGTGACAATAAGGAATATATTCTACCCAAGTATAATGCTTTTTATGATAAATATTCAACATTGTCTTTCTCGAAGAACCCTGAGAAATATGTGAAGTACTCACCAGAGCAAGTGGCTGCGCTTCTTGACCACTTTTTTGATGTAGCCGCTTAGTTATTTCAACTCTCTTCGTATCACTGATTATCAATATTCTTTATAGAGATTTTAGCTTTAACTGTATATATGTAAAAAACAGCTGTCAGCTTTGAATGATATATAATATATATACATATTATGTGTAGTATTTAGATTTTATTGCTTGTTAATATTTATATTTTAATAGATCAGAAGTGTGGCTAGAAAAATAATTTGTCATAAACATTTTTCCCGCAACTAGCCGACTTAGAAAAGATGCTTAAGCCTTGTTCCTTTTTAAAAATCAGCTCTATTCATTACCAGTCAAACCTACAGTCATTGATAAGATAAACTGTTGTATTTTATTGTAATCTCTTATAGTCACACTCCTACCTAGAAATATCTATATAGGTTTGTTGTATCGTAGGCAACTTTTGTTGGAATTGCTGAGCAAAATCTATGTAATTGTACACTTTTATATATATAAAAGCATATTTACACTTTTATAATACAGTACTTGTTATGCCGCTGTATGTTAGACTACCTATTTATTGCAATCTCAATGTATTGTTACAATCGATATAAGCTCTGCACTTCACTCAAATACATGGTGTGTGAGTCTTATTTTGCATTTTATTTCCATATGGTTGGCATGATTAGTCTTTATTTCTAAAAATAAAGTCATATGTTTATCTATACTTAAACAAATATATGGTTGTTTGTAAATAAAGTAGGCCTATAGGTAATTTGAAATGGTAACTTTTTCTAAACCTATGATTCGGAAGCAAGAAATTAAAATTATTAAGTTTTACAAATAATAATTTTTTGTGAACTCATTATTAGGCTACTAGTGACTCACTGGTGACATACGAATTATTTTACAGTAAGTTGTCCACAAATTTATTAAAACAATTTTTTAGACCTAAAGTAATATACCGTACAGAATAGGTAGGTAGGCCTACATTAACTGTACCTGGGGTAACACTACTTTACCTATGACGGTGTTTTAATTACTAAAAATCACTACTCATAACTTCTAAGAAAGGTTATGTTTTCGTTTATAACCTCTCATTGCCACTGACAGTGATGCAACAAAACATTGTGTCAAACATTTATTGCACCAATCTACAATTAAATTGACCTGAACCGATATTCTGTTGATTATTGATCAGTTGAATTTCAAACCATTACAATTTTACTTCTCTCTCAATCCTTGAACCTCATTGGTCCGATACTCGTGTTGTTATGAGTAAAACTATGCTGTTATGAAAGTAAACAATGCTGTTATGAGATACTTTTCAATTCTAAGAACTGTACTGAAACGGCTACTTTAAAAAACGGTCGTAGGTAAAATAGATAACAACACCAAACTTAATTTTTAAAGCCACAGTAGTACCTTAAATTTAACTTTTTTAAGTAATCCCTATTGTTTTTGTGACAATTGTTGTAATGTGGGACCATGTTTTTTATCTCAATGTTTTACTCATCAGTCACTAGAGATTTGATCCATTTACCCTGCATCCTTAAGTCATTTGCCAACTGTTGCCCCCCCCCCCCAAAACTCCAAGTTTGGAAACAGGCAAAAATCACTTGGTTTTAGGTCAGGGCTGTAGGGTGGATGACAAAAGATTCCTGTCATCCTCTTTGACTTCCAGGATGACTTTGAAGTTCCCCATGCACTCCTCCTAAAGTATGGAGCATTGTCGTGAATAAAAAAGACTAGATGACAGCATTCCACGTCTTGATTTGGATGGCGCATCAAAGTCGTGAAAGAGTCTTCAATAGGATTTTGAGTTTGGTTGTACCACATGACATTCAATCAACATGGATTAATCCCACAATTTTTTTACTTTCTGGATGACCCTCGTCAGGTACACTTAGACCAACACTGGTCTGTTTTAGTATTAAGGGTGCGCTCTACCTCAGCTCAGAAATCTCAACTCAGGCCTCAGTGGCTATGATGCGCCATTGAACAGTGCCGTTAGGAGCGCTTACAGACGTTTAAGTCCTCTTAAATTACTCACTTAGCTTTTAAAATAACATGCATTATAGGAAAATTAGTTTTTTCTTATTTACACAAAAACTAAAAGAGATAAATTAGTAAAGTAGTGTAAATTACAAAGTTGTTAAGAATAAAAAAAAAACCTATTAAAATGATGTGCCATTTGACATATGTTGCTATTTGAAAATTTTGAACAATGGGCATTTGCAAATTTTCCAAAATCAACTTTTTGGGAATTTTTATTAGGTATTTCAAAAATAGTAAAGCTAATTTCATAAGTTACTAGAGGACCCATGCTGCTCCGCAGCGTTAAAATAAATATAATATCCGAGAACAAATCAAATTAATGATTTTTGATTGAGTAAATCAGTATCTTGAGCTTAACTGATTCAAACGATCAATATCTCAAATTGAAGCCTATAGGGTAAATGCTACAGTTATTGGCACCTTAACGGTAAGCTTCGGAGAAATCTACCACAGTTCCTTTGCAATACTTTTTTTAATATCTACGTTTTTTTAATCATGTAGCAGAATGTACTGAGAATACTGGGATGCATAAGAAAATATAAATATAATTACTTAAGTTTATTAAAAAATGAAAATGTTAAAAAATACAAAAACCATAGTTATTGGCACCATCAACCATAGCTATTGTCACATCTTGGCACAGTTATTGGCACCTATAAAATAGTCTACAAATATTACATTTTAAGCGTCCTAAGGTGGTCTTTGTTGTCTTACGTGATGTATGCCTAATCATATTAAGTAGGCCTATATAGAAGAAAAAATGAAAATTATACAGTAAGTAAAATTAAAATCCTTAAAATTGCTCATGGTAGGCCTAGTTTCTTTGGCAACACCGCCTTTACCGAACTTACCGTCTTCATACATATTAATTGGTATTGGTTCGTCGTAATCAATGCCATCAAAATATTTCCTGTGAAATATTTCATTACAACGTTCACATTTTACCTTTTGTAGGATTATTTTTTTATTCTCTTTGTTACGTATTTGATCCTGATTGGGGCTTTTCGACAGAATTTTAAATGGTTTTAAACATAATATGATGGATCGGTTTTTAGTTTACCCTTTTTTTAATATGGTAATAATTAGGCATGTGAAGCTTTTTATCTTTATATATATGAATTAGGTATATTGGCCTAAATAAATTATTTTTATAGCATATACTCGTGTAACCATGTTACGATAACTTAGAGACTTCCATAACAGTAAATGCTGTTACTGGCAGTGTCACCTGTTACCAGTGACTAAAGTCATTGGCATGCCAATAACCACAATGATTACCAGTGCCAATCGGCATTAGTGTATTTACCACAGTTATTGGCAGTGCCAAGGTAGTGCCAATAACTAAATCACTACATATTTTAGACACAGTTGTTGGCACCCTCATATATTAGGTAATTTTTAAGTATATGGGTAAATGGGTGGCGGGAATAAGGGATGCACTGTGGATGCGATGCTCACTGGTGTGGATTAACGTCCGCACTAGTGAGTACTACGACTATCCGCAGTACTATCCTGATAATTAGACCAATTCGTAAATTACAAGGAAAAATGTGGTTCGGATTCCACTATAAACTGTAGGTCCCTTAGTTGCCATTAGCTGTATGGGCTATTAATTAACAGCTGTGTCTAAGGAACATGTCGGCCTTAGTCACTAACAAGACTACAAGATCGCGCCACTCATCCTACACTCATCCTTCACTCATATTTGGGTTAAAATACGCACATAGTGGCGTCCCCATCTTAAATAATTGATTGATTGATAGACAAATCAGTCCTTCCTAATACTAATGAAATAATGAAAACGTATTTTTTTAACGTTCAGTTTTAATAGGAAAAAATAAACAGGTATTTAAGTCCTTGTCAGTTTCTTAAGGAAATGTGAAGAATCAATAAAAATCGGCTAAGCATTTGAAAAAAATGTCTGTGCAGATTAGCATGGCCTCTGAAATAACCAAACACACACTGAAGTACAGAGAACTCATGTGGGCATTTCAGCAACTAACTCCCCTCTTCCACCGACTATTGCATTTAAGTGTACGAGGCTTTGAAAAAAAGGTGACAATAACTATGGTAGTGCCAATAACTCTAGCTCTTACCCTAATTAATTTATAGATTATTTTGAGTCTAAAACATATAAAAAAACCTGAACAATACTGGAGCTATTGATTTGTAATCATAGAAATACCTTATGAAAAATAATGTTAATGTTTGTTGTTCACATTGCGTTTGCTTGAAACTCGTCCGATTTGAAAAACTAATACGTAGCTTAAATGGAAGCCGGTATTTCACTGAAGGATCTTATCCCAAAATATATAGGATTATATAATTATATAACTGGTGAAATACAGCGTATAAATTTAAGTAAGAATTATAAAAAGAAACAAATTAGAAATACAGTAGGTAAATATATGCCGATGCTTGATGGCAAATCTGTGAGTACATACCTTCTATGTGCTCAAATCATAAAAATCGGCCGGATAGAAGAACCAAACGAACTCGGAAAAGTGAAACCAAATTTAACTTCCATAACAAATACATGGGGAGCAAATGTGGTGTACATATAAGCCAAGTGGGATAATAGATAAATATATGCCGATGCTTGATAACAATTATGTGCGTGCTTACCGAAAGTCTGTCGGGTAGAAGAGCCAATCGAACTCGGAAAAGAGAAACCAAATTTAATTCCCGTAAGAAATACATAAGGAGCAAATTTCGTTTACGTATAAGCCAAGGGGGATTATAGGTAAATACATGCCGATGCTTGATGGCAAATCTGTACGTGCATACCTTCAATTTGAAACCTCAACCATGAAAATCGGTCGGGTAGAAGAGCCAAACAAACTTGGAAAAGAGAAACCAAATTTAATTCCCGTAAGAAATACATGGGGAACAAATTTTGTTTACGTATAACCCGGGTGGGATTATAGATAAATATATGCCGATGCTTGAAGATGGCAAATCTGTGCGTGCATACCTTCAATTTGAGACCTCAATCATGAAAATCGGTCGGGTGGAAGAGCCAAACGAACTCGGAAAAGAGAAACAAAATTTAACTCCCTTAAGAAATACACGGGGAGCAAATTTAGTTTATTTATAACCCGGGTGGGATTATAGATAAATATATACCGATGCTTGATGGCAAATCTGTGCGTGCATACCTTCATTTTGAGACCTCGATCATGAAAATCGGTCGGGTAGAAGAGCGAAACGAACTGGGAAAAGAATACCCCCGCCGCAGCAAACCTGCCGTCTAAGCGAATTTCCATTTGGCCGAATTGATTTTCAATTGATCTATTTAAATAACATTAGGTTTAACGAGTACCTAGGTTTGCTGCTACAAGGAAACTAATAAAGTAGTGTGTTTTTAGTAAAATATTGATAGCTTACTATAAGATAAATAAATTTGCCAAGTTTGATCAAAATATATCCATAAACAAGCAAACTACAACATTTTACAATATTCTCCATAAGAATAACATGGGAATTTTAAATTTACAATTTTTTTAGTTTTCTCCGTAACCAATAACCGTACAAAAACACTTTGATATACTGAATTGTTTGTTTTTTTAAGCTCTTTAAGAAGGTTTATATAAAAATTGGGAAATTTTGTGTTTTGAGGGTAAAAAGTGAGAAAAACCAATTTTTACCCCATAAAACCCCCCATAAAACCCTGTTCCCATGGTCCGATCATGCTGGATCGCGAACTCATTCAAGTTTATCCCGCCTTACACCTTCAAACCAAATTTCATCAAAATCGGATAAAAATTACTCAAGTTATCGTGTTCACGGACACATATATATATATATAAATCTATATATATATATACCTATATATATATATATATATACATATA